CTGGTCTCAAACTTGCAGTGATCCTCCTGCCTCAGCCTCCCAAGTGCTGGGATTATAGGCGTGCACCACCATACCTGGCCCCTAACAGGATTCTTGCTGAAAGCAGGCCAGGGTGATCCGACATCACTTGAATGGTGTGGGATGAGGAACTTGATCACTCATAAATTCAGGGTGATCACACATGTAAAGCGGAGACTATGGCTAAACTGATGTAGTGAGATTCTTGCTCCATCTACATTTACGCAACATTTACCCAATAAGGAGGAACACCACGGCTGAGGTGTGTAGTGAGGTACCCGACTAAAATTTAGTGAAGAAGAGTCTTTGTCCATCCCTGCTCTTGTCAGAGGGAAAAAGAGGCATTCTATTTTCCTTTGAATAGTCTATTTCCCAGTCAGTCACCTGTTAAGAACCAGCTGAACCATCTATTGAGACTTGATTGTAGGGAATTTTTACTGGTTGTAAAAGAAGTCAGGTAAGCAGTGAGGGAGTTTCTATGAAAATAATTTTTCAAAAAAGACTAATGGCTGGATGTTTGTAGCTTGACTGCCTGTTGATGGGACTGTATGTTCTCATAAAATCTTCTGAGTGGTCTGCAAAGTAGCATGCACAAAGTTTGCCTATACATAATCTGCTGTTATTTCTCTGAAATAACAACATGTAAAGTCATCCAGCTTCAACTTAAAGGGCTTTTGGAAAGGAAGAGTTTTAATTTTCAGCGATATCAAGATAGTAGGGTAGGAAATAATTGAAACACTAATTACTGACAAAATGTGTTACAAAGCATAACTTAAGTGGAATTTACCAAGAGATGAAAAAAATACCTCAAAGATTATGAACAAGGTTATAATCTTATTACCCATAAGGTTGCACTATAGTTTTCAACTGAAACACAGTTTTTTACAGTCACCACCCATTTAACTCTTATTTACAAAATGTAAGTCTGTTCTCTTTAGAGTTGGCCTGGTTATTTACATTAATTCAGGAGAATGGCATTGAACATACAGGCCTTTTAAAAATTGCTTTACTGAAACATTTAATAAGGAATCCAAGATTAAACTTTGAAAGTTTTTTTGTTTGTTCTCTAGTACTGGGAATCGAACTTACAACCTCGCACTTGCCAGGCAGGGTGCTGTGCCACTGAGCTAAATCTCCAGCCCCTTAAAAGCTTTTTGAGGCTGGGAAGATAATCAAGAACTTGTCACCAGATTTAGCCTTCAGTACCTACAGAACTGGTGAATTTCTTTCTATTTCCTGGGCCTCACAGGAAGTGACCTTCACTCATCTGTAATGCTGGAAGCTCAGTAAGACAGCAACTATTGGACTGGTTTTTCCAAGACAGCCTCCATAAGGCAATCTTTTGTTTTGTTTTGTTTTGTTTGTCTTGTCTTTTTCAGACAGTTTCACTATGCAGTTCAGGCTGGCCTTGAACTCATGATGTGGCTGAGGCTGGCCTCAAATTCAAAGTAGTCCTCCTGCCTCAGCCTCCCAAGCACTGGTATTATAGGCATGCACCACTATGCCCATCCTCCATAAATCAATCTTAATTCATTACAATATTAATTACATTCTCATTGTAATCTGGTTTTATGCATCATTCTCAAAAATGATGTTTCAGAGCCAGATGTGGCGGTGCACACCTGTAATCCCAGCACTCAGGAGGCTGAGACAGGAGATTGTCATGAGTTCCAGGCCAGACTGAGCTACAAAGTGAGTTCAAATCCAGCCTGAACTGCGTAGCAAAACTAGCAAAATGTGATCTCAAAGAGACAGGAAAACTGGGGATATAACTCAGCGGCATAAGTGCCTGCCTGGCAAGAGCAAGGTCCTGAGTTTGATTCCTGGTACCAAA